ATATTATTTTAATAGATTTAGATATTTTTCTCTCACTCATCTGAAATAAGCAAAATCCAGCTAATGCTGGACCCAAGAAATTTTCCTCTCTAGAGCCTTGCTAAAATTAACTTATCTTGGAAACTGTTCGGCTCTGACAAAAATGGGTAATTTGATGAAAATACAGTCAGCTGAAAATTTTCCTACCACCTCTAGTACAGGACTCAGAAGTGCTGTCAAAGAAAGCTGTACAAATAAATGACATTTCAGTAACCAAGTTTAAATCAGTTTTTTTTCCCCTGAAGTTTTATTTTAAACAAGTGTTTAATTTAATTTCAAATATAATGTTCCCTCTTGCTTCTGTGCACTATCCCCCTAAAAAGTCAAAACAAATTGATGTAAAATTTAATTAGATTTTAAATAAAAAGGTTTCCTTTTTTTCTCTCCAGATTAGACTGTTTTATGAATGTAACAGCAGACAGAATTTCTCAGTGAATAAAGTATATGTCAAAAAATGTCCACTGCTGCCTTGTAGAGATAATGTATAAAGAGGAAGAAGCAGTGCATACTTGTGCAGGTAGAATTTTGTTCACATTAAATCCCTTTTCATCAAGCTCAGATATTTCCAGTTAATGCTATGCTTTAGTTTATATTTCACTTGTATTTTTATTATCTCCACCAAGCCAAACATCTTCTTGGATAAATCATCTGAGTCTCCAAATGGCTTTTGCAGCACTTTTGAGTTTAAACTTTGAGTTAGATAGGTTCTAGTGAAGAATGGAAAATTTCATAATATGAGCAAATGGGGAAAAAAACACTTGAGGAAACAAAATTTGCAGAAGATTTGCAGTGTAGCTATCTTGACTCTCTGCGGAGAATCATCCAGAATAGTCTCCTTGCAAAAGGATCAGGTGCTCACATCTTTCACTTCTGAATAGTCTTTCCTTAAGGGCATGCATTGTGTCAAATGCATTCATGTCCATATAGTGGATACCCACTTCAGTTTGAGAGTCAGTAGCAACAAGTATTGCTGAGAAAGCTTTGAAGGCTGCCAAGGCAGAGCCAACACAAAGAGATATTCTTCAGTTATATTCTAGCCTTGAGGCGGTAGCTTCTGAAAATATCTTACTAAAAGTGGCATAAGAAATAATACTCGTAATAAAGGGGAGTTGTACCAAAGGAAATGGAAGATTTTACAAGAGCTGAACAAAAATGTAGATGTATGAACAACATCTCTGGCTGATGATTGTTGGAATGTCTTATGCGTATTACTTTTTTTTTTTTTAAATTTTAATGTAAGATGGTTCTAAATACACTTCTCAGAAGTTCAGATTTGATACTGCCAGGCCAAAGGGTATCTGGGAAACATACAGCACTGGGGGTAGGAGCACAGATGTTCAACATCATACAGGATCAAGCCTTAAAACTCAGGCACTTGAACACCAGCATATATTTCACTGTCGTACTTCAACAGGTGGATCTCCACTCACTGCAGCGTTATTTAAATCTGTTTGCTATTCCAGACTCAGGCAGCAGTTCAGATTTCCCAAGTCTCTTCTTCCTTTTGTATCTGGAAGGGTGCTTGCACACATACCACAGAAGGAATTGTATCATGCTTGTATTAACACAAAGTTCATTATTTCTTTAGCTCCTTTAGGTATTCCTATGATGTTCAAAATTTTGAGCAAATGATGGTCTTTTCCTGATAGAATACCTACCTCCAGACTGAGATCAGACAGGGATTGGTCAGGCCAAGAGGAATTTACATTAGAAAGTTGCCACCGATTAAAAAACTGAGGATTAGATTAAATTTGGAAAGCAATTTTTACAAAATTGAGAGCTGTGGTTTGTGGTTTTTTTTTTTTTTTTTTTAATTTTTTTTTTTCTGATACTGAGCATAAAATTCACTCTCCTGCTCACAGTTCACACATTACCCTCCAGAGCAAACAGAGGTCTGAGAGCTCTGGCTCTCCTCTTTTTTCCTGCCTCTTCATATCCCTTGCTCCCAAGGTGATTTGTAGGTGTTGCAAGTGTGCAGATCTGTGTGCCTGCCAGTGACTCCCACCCAGCTGATGGAATTCTGGGTTGTCTTGTTAGGCAGTCTTCAATCAATCATCTTTACTCCAAGATAAATGCAAAGGGCTTTTGTTAGGGCCAAGGAGTTGAGCTGCTACTGGCTCAGTGGCCAGTACTGGTCTAACTGTTTCATACACCAGGGAGGAAATGCAGACTCGTAGTCTTTCTTTACCATGGTGCGCTTCCTTTCTAACAAACTCTTTTGGTTATTTGGGAGTAAGATAAGTAAAAAAACCTCTTCCCAATCTCTATATCTGAGACACAGAGAGGACTTAAATTATCTCAAGTCACTAGGGAATATACGTATAGTGACTCAGAAGCAACGACAACATAGAGTCAGGAAAACACACTCAACTGCTACTTTGGACCAATGCTGGATGGCTTTGGCATTAAAAAGACTCCTGTGTCTAGCCAGCCAAATTCTGCAAAACTGCTCTATAAAGAAACTTTTCTTAAGCAGTGCTTATTATTTGTGTTACCTAATTTGCACATTCAGCAGCACACTGTAGCTGTTACGGAGGGGGTCCTGTATTTCTGAAAATGGCAGCCAGCTGTTGTTCAACTCTGCAAATTTCTTTGCAGCTTATTTATAAACCATTTGAAGGCTGACCTAACGCTCGCTTAGCACAAAATAAACCCTGGAAAAATGTGGTGCCATAAAGCTGCCAAGTCAAACACTTACTGCATTTTTGTAGAAGAAATACAGCACCATGTTGGCGAGTCGGGAATAACACCAGTGGCCATGAACAAGCAAGAGCTTCTCCAAATGCCGGAACCTTGGGATTGCAAAGTCGCTTGCCATCACCGCCTTTAATGAAAGAAAAGTTGGAATAATTATTGTAAAGCATCACTTTTGACACCAACAGTGAATCTAGTCATCTTCCCAATCCATACAGTCAATGGAAATTGTACTGACGAAGATTTAAATCCATTACAGTGCATCTGAAATGCAGATATTGCCACATTGATTTGGAATACCCGTGAGCAAATCCAGCAACTTGGCAGAACATGCAAGGTGACCCGGTCCTCGCCCAAAGGAGATTACAGTCTGTGTTCCAGATGGTAACAAGCAGCAGCAAAAAGCAAGAGGTGGGAGAGCGGCTGCCGATTACAGTTGCATGAGCATGAAGGCTGGGGGCCCAGATGTAGACGTCTTGGTGCCTGAAACAGCTTTCTCTGTAAAACTACAGGGTACTTACAGGGCAAAATGAATTTCCAGAGAATAAAGTAAGAAAAGCACAATTAAGTGGTTGTAACATAATTACTGGACTTTAAAACACAAAGCAATAAAAATATTAGTTTTAACTAACATTTGTAATCCTGGCTTATAAAGTTTGCTTGGCTGTCCTGAGATATCAGTATGTTGACAGATTTTTAAAATTGCATGTTTTCTAAAACTAACTGTGAAAGAAAGATCACACTAGATCAGATTCCTCAGGGACCGTGCAGACTGCCAAATCAGACTGACAAAATGAATCATGCCATTTCTCTCTACTTCTGACTAAAATTTAGGGTACCGTACATCTAGATGAGGCTTTCTTGTAAACGATGGTGTTATCACAGTTGCTTCATGATCCTTCCTATCCCTAGAATCACACTAAGATTTCATTTAATATTATTTTACATTTCATTTTCTATTTTGGTATCACCTTCTCACAGTGCAGCAAAAACATGAGGAAAGGTGAAAACCTCCAAAGGAGCAACGTCTTCCTTGCACTCTGTAGGGTGTATTTTGGCTGTGTTTTTAAATGAGAGACATGTTTCCTTTTAATTTTCCTAATTCCTTTTCTTGGTAAATCATCTAAAGGGGTCAGTTTTCACAAGTAAGTGCTTGTAGAAGCTGTTAAAATAAAGTCTAAAACAGTATGCAAGAGAAGGTGTAATAAGGCACTGTAATGTAAACAGTAGATGTATATAAGCATTGGGAGGTTTTTTAATATGTTGACACATCCTTGGATTTCTCAGGTACTGAGATACACTTGTTATAACCTCCCTGCCCAGAACAGTCTGATGTGTCTTGCAGACATATAGCTATCTTGCAGTTTGAGAATAGAGCTGTGCTATGTCTGCTTCCTTGTCCTCCAGCCCAGCTCAGCCTATTCCAAAGTTGAAACAAAACTGTTAGCTTATTTTGATTTGTGCTTCTAGCATAGTACTTCACAACACACTATGAGAAGTGTTGGGGTGTTTTTTCTTTTTTTATTACACTTTGATTACAGTGAGGAATATAGTGAGGATGACAGTGTTATCCAATTACATTTGCATGTTTATTTTGTCTCAAAATATCTCCTTGATTTTCATATTTTTATTTTTTCTTCCAGCTTTTTCACAGGAAAAAGTGTTTCATGCTCCACATGCTTCCATAGAATGTGGAAAGAAAATAAATCAGAGAGTATTGCTGTTCTAGACATCTAAATGCTCAACGCCTTCTGAGTAACCGCATGCATAAGATTCTGACAGTTGTTTATAGTAAAGAGGCCTGCATGGTTCCTTAGGACCGTGCAGTAAAGGAAGGGATCTATAAACATTTTCCACTCTGTTGAACTTTAATTTAGAAAAAAAACCCAGGTAGTTTAATGGGTTAATGAGCAAATACCTTTCAGATTTGAATACACTGCAAAAGCCAGGGGCATTTGAGGACTGGTTATTGTAAGTGTATGAACTCAACTGAAAGTGGCATAACGTGGAGAGGAGTTAAAAAAATGCTACAAGCACTATATGTCTGCATTAGGAAAAGAAGTGATCTGAGATGAATACACAGATGATAGGAGCTGATAAGTTCATAAGAGATGAGCCTGAACATGAGCCAGCAGTGTGCCCAGGTGGCCAAGAAGGCCAATGGCATCCTGGCCTGCATCAGAAATAGCATGGCCAGCAGGAGTAGGGAAGTGATTGTGCCCCTGTACTCGGCACTGGTGAAGCTGCACCTTGAATCCTGTGTTCAGTTTTGGGCCCCTCACCACAAGAAGGACATTGAGGTGCTGGAGCAGGTCCAGAGAAGGGCAATGAAGCTGGTGAAGGGTCTGGAGCACAGGTCTTACAAGGAGCGGCTGAGGGAGCGGGGGTTGTTTAGTCTAGAGAAGAGGAGGCTGAGAGGAGACCTTATCACTCTCTACAGCTACCTGAAAGGAGGTTGTAGTGAGGTGGGTGCTGGCCTCTTCTCTAAAGTAACAAGTGATGGGACAAGAGGAAATTGCCTCAAGTTGCACCAGGGAAGGTTTAGGCTGGGTATTAGAAAAAATTTCTCCACTGAAGGAGTGATCAGGCATTGGAACAGGCTGCCCAGGGAAGTGGTGAAGTCACCATCCCTGGAGGTGTTCAAGAAACGTGTAGATGTGGTGCTTAGGGACATGGTTTAGTGAGTCAGGTGGTGTGGGTTGATGGCTGGACTTGATGATCCTTGAGGTCTTTTTCCAGCCTTAATGATTCTGTGATTCTATGAGATGATAAGACTCAGGGAGTTTGGGGCAGAGTTTTTTGGACTGATAGGCTTGGAAGGGACCCCACCCCAAAACAGTCACCTCTGGGCTCTCTGGAGCCTGGATTGCCTGCAGAGCGATACAAAGCTCTTGGATCCTGGTGAAGGCTGTGGAACAACAAATACACTTGATGTCTGCTTAATCCAAGATTTTATCTTCTCCTGTCCTCTCCAGCCATCAAAGGTGGACACAGACTCTATGGCTGGGATGTCATATCCATGATTAATATCTGAATATTTTTGTGGTAGCTTATTTCCAGTCTAATTTCCAGCTGCTAACATGTTTGGAGAAACATTTTTTTTCAATGGATTGCAGGCCTGAAATCTGTTTGAAGAGCACTGATGAACATCCATTTTTCCTGGAGATTACTTCGACTGGACCCACTGGGTAACTACAAGAAGAACATGTGTAACAGCTCTGCTGGGTCAGGCTGAAGCCCATCTTCCCTAGTAGCCAGCCTCCAACAATGGCCAAGAGAGGATGCCTTCAGAAGAGTATATGAATAAATAAGAAAAAAACACCTACTGACTTTTCTCCAGAGTACTGTCCTAGCTTCTGGTGATCTGCATGTCCAAAAATGCACAACGTTGACATCCAAATTCATAGCTCAGTTAAATTTTTGTTTCATAAATTTGTGTGTTGACCCAATTAAATTACAGAAATCCCATGGAATAAAATTCTATAGCCAACTTGTGTACTGCATGAAGATGGCCTTTCTTCACTTTGAGTAAAACATGGAGCTTGTGTTGCAAAAAATGCAATGCGGGTCAGAGAACCACCCACCAGTAACTAAGTTAAGGGGCATGCTCATCTGGTCAGGCCCTCAGGATGGAAACACTTCCCATCTTCTTTGAAGAGCTCTTTGTCATATAGTCAGCTACTCTATTTTCTCATGCAATCAGGCTGCACCCAGCCCAAATACAAGGTGGAAGTGAGGTTCTTCCTCATTTTCTGTGTCCTACTGCCATGTCTGGTGCTAACACTGCAACTGAACTGCACTAGCAGTAGGGGAGGCAGAGGTAATAGGTAATACAGTAGGTAGTACATCCTGTACATATACATCCTCCCTTCTGGGGAGCAGAAAAGTGCCTCTTATACAGTGGTAAATACAGTAAGCAGGGGCTGAGCACATCAAAAGACCACAGGGCAAGTCCCCTTCTCTTGCTGTTCCCTGGGGTAGGAAATGGAGAGAAAATTAAGACTTGGAATAGTGTGTAGGGACCTGTGCTTTTGCAAAGCGCTGCAATTTTATCTTTCTTCATGGTTCAGCTGTCTGAATAGGCTGAGTGAGTGAGATGTGTGGGTGGCTGGGCTAAGGGTCACCACCACACCATGCAAATAAACTGCATCAGCTGGATGGGCTTGTGCACCTAGTCCACAGGAGAAATATACCCAAGCAATACAGGAGAGAGGAGAACAAAAGCCAGAATAAAGTGAACCTTTATTTCCTAAATAATGCATAGCTGTGCTTTCTTCCTCCTTTAAGCCAGTATTTAATAAATGATTTCTTAAAACACATAATGCTTAGAGGGATCTGATACATTGAATTTCCTGAGAAGGTAGCATGTTTAAACTCACCACAGATCTGAGAACAAACACAAGCTCAAACTCAAGCTGAAAGCATCCTTACGACACGCAACTGGCAATCCTGAGCACAACCTGACACTTCTCCTTTATTTGTGTTGGCTATCCAAAGGCAGCTTGGTCAAGCTTACATATGGAAAGTGCCTATTTCACCCTTTCATGGGAGTGCTTTTTGGTGAAAAAGCAACAGTACCTGCATGCCTTCTTGACCAGAGATCCCCACGCCAACATCTGCCACTTGGATCATGCTGACATCATTAGCACCATCACCTAAAGATGACAAGATACAGTTTTGTTGTCACTAGTAGAGCAGGAAGAATTAGCAGCAGCAAAGCAAAGGCAAAACAGTTGTTACTGAGTGTTCAGTGGGTATAGTAAGGGAAATGTGGGACAGGAAAGGATCCATCTTTGGAATATAAGGTTCACAGCTTGGTAAAGCTGCCAAGACGTTCTGATCTTTGTAGAATTTTTTATCACAGAAAAGTAAAAATAAAACAAATCCCTCTCTTTTTAGTAAGACCTAAAATTCAAGTATCAGGCCTGAACTGCAGAAATACTAAAACACTGAAAGGCTGAGAATGAGCTTCCCAATACTTCTGCTTCCTCATTAACTGTCTGCCTGCAATCAGGTATGACTAAGAATGAAATGTGCAAGGAGGCCTAAATCCAATGAGAATGTCTACACTGTAAAAATAAAATTAAGTTAAAAAGTAGATGAATACTTGACTTGGATTGACCAGTCTGAGATCATCACAGGTAGATTTAACTGCAGTGGCTGCACAGTCACCATCCTCTGCTTCCAATCATAGTGATAGGTGTCATAGAAAGGATACCAGAATGGGACATTTATCTTCTTCTTAACCTCTTAAATTTACAGTCAGTGTGCCAGTGGAAACTGAAACTGTATTAGCTGATGACAAGACACTTGATTTTAAACTTCAGTGAAGTGTACATTCACATCTCACTCCAGTTTCCCTGCTGTTGGCACATACAAGAGTGGTATCCACTCACCTGACAAAGATGTCTTTGTGACTGTCCAATACAACCACAAGTTAGCTTGTGTTGGTTAAAAGGGAGGACGTACACAATTAGGCTTTTGGGCCAGAGGAGGAGCTTGAGTTTAACTCATAGGCTCAAGATGCTCACAAAGAATGAAAACCTAAGCTGCCTAGTCTTCACTAGTGTTTTTAAGCATTCTGGATAATTCAAGTTAACCAGCCAGACGTTTTTGAAAACATATGCAAATGCTTATGCCCACAGTCAGTCAGCCAAAGACATAAATTCAGTACGAGAAAGGCATATTTGAGCTAGATATAATACAGTGAGCATGAGAATAATTACGATCAGCACACATTTGGTGATGGTGGATTTCACAGGAGTCTGGCAATTATTATATGCACTTAGGATTTCTCATGGGTAGGTCCAACCCACATGTGTTGCTGCTATGATTAACCAAGACAAGGAGATGAAAGCTAGCGTGTTTGTGACAATATATGCTACAATCACATCTTCTAATGCAACATGAGCCTAAACTTGGGCTAGGGAAA